GGGAGGGCTGCCCTCCCTTTAGGGTTCTGGGGAGCATCCCTTTCTCGCCTCCTCTAGCTCCTGGTAGCTGCTGGCATTCCTTGGCCTACAGTTAAATCACTCTATTCTCTGTCTTCACAGTCACACCACCTTCTCTTCTGTGTGTCAGTCGCCCCTGCCTCCCTCTTCTAAGAAGATATGTGGTTGTATTGTATTTAGAGCCTACATGGATAATCCAGGCTAATCTTCTCATCCCAAGGTCCATTATTCAGCCAAAAGGCAAGAAGAACTATAGACTGAAGAGACAAAACAATCATCAGAAGCAGACTCAGATATAATACTGATGTTGGAATTATCAGACAGGGCATTTAAAATAACTATCACTAATATGTTAAAGATTCTAATGTTAACACATTCTCCAGGATACTATATATTAGGACAGGAAACAAGACAATAAAGTTTGAAAGATTAAAATTATATGGAGAAAAGACAGTCTTTAAACAACTAGTGGTGGAAAAATTAGATGTCCACACACAAAAAAGAAAAAGAAAAAGATTCTCGACAGAGACCTTACATCATACATGAAAAGTAACTAAACGGAGCTCAAAATAGAGCATAGACCTAAAAGTAAGGCACAAAACAATACAACTCTCAAAGGAAACACAGGAGAAAAATCTGCTTGACTTTGGTTTGGTGATGAGTTTTTAGACACAATACCAAAAACGTAATCCATGAAAGACAAAATCAATAAGTCGGACTTTATTAAAATTTTGCTCTGTAAAAGACAGGGTTAAAAGAATGAAAAAAGAGGCCACAGAATGGGAGTAAACATCTGCAAATCATACATCTGATAAAAGATCTTATCCAGAATATGCAAAAAACTTTTAAAACTCAACAATAAGAAAATGAAAAACCCAATTTAAAATCGGGGAAAAGATATGAACAGACACCTCACCAAAGAAGATATCCAGGTGGCAAATAAGCATATGAAAAGATTCTCAGCACCATTTGTCATTAAGGAAACGTAAATTAAAATAAAATGCAAATTAAAACACTACCACATGCCTATTCAAATAGGCACATTCTGAAAACCTGTCAATACCAGGAGCTGGTGAAGATGCAGAGGAGTGGGGACTCTCATTCATTGCCGGCGGGAAGGAAAAAGGTACAGTTACTCTGGAAGACCGTTTGGCAGTTTCTTATAAAGCTAATCATAGATTTCTCATATGACCCAGCAGTTGTGCTCCTAGGCATTTATCAAACTGATTAGAAATATGTGCACACAAAAGCTTGCACACAAATATTTATATCAGCCTTATGTGCCTAATAAAGGTGGAAGCAACAAAGATGTCCTTTAATAGCTGAACGGATAAACAGTGGTACATCCATACTACAGAATACTATTCGGCAATCAAAAGGAGCAAGCTGTTAACCCACACAACAGTGGGGATGAATCTTACAGCATATTGCTAAGTGAAAGAAGCCAGTCTCAAAAGGGTACATACCATATGATTCCATTTATGCGATTAAGAAAAGGTAAAACTACAGAGATGGAAAACAGATCAGTGGCTGTCAGGGGTTCGGAAAGAGGGCAATGGTTGACTAGGTGAAGCACTGTGAATATTTTAGAACCAAGAAACGATTCTGCATGGCGTTATCGTAGTGGATGCGTGACCATCCATTTGTCAAAACTCATAGAACTTTACAGCACAAAGAGTGAATTCTACTGAACGCAGATTTTATAAAAGAATCTGACTATATTACAAATGTAGCACATAATCTCACTGAAGAGTGTACGGAACAGACATGCTGACCTAAAGAACTTTAGGAATAACTGGAAACAACACTAAAGACCAAAAGAACTGTCCATGAGCACTGTACTCTAGCTGGGAAAGTTCCGTCTCAAGGGAGTATGGAAACTCCCATAACACGTGTACTAGAATTTAACAATAAGTAAACGGATGGCAGATGGTGGGAGGCAGGCTGCTCACCGTTGAAGTGATGGCTTATAGACAAGCAAGGAGAAAAGGATAGAATGAACCATGTGAATGGATTCGAGTTGGAGACATTAGCATGAACTTGTGTTTAGTTTAATATAGATACTAATGGATAGACATAGACATAATTATAGTTATGCATATGCACAGGCTAGTGTACAGACAAATATTTCCTAGCTCCACCCACTGAGAGTGGCCCCCAGTAGCAACAAGCACATGTCTTGGTTTCTAATACTATTCTCCCATAAAAGCAGCCGGGATCCTTAGAGAAGTGGTTGATTCCAGGGCTGGAGCGCAAAATACCCTGGATGAGCGTGCAGGCTCTAATAGAGCCAGAAAGCAAGGAAATGCTCAAAAAAAGGAAATTATGAAGGTATGTCAAAAGGACACAGGAGCCAACATGTGTCCCAATAGCCAAAACTAGAACAATCTGAACAAGAAAATATACACCATAGTGTTAGATAATGATGCAAAGTATAAAATAAATATACTCATGAGTCTATATTGATAAATGATGGAATAAGAAAATAACAGAAGAATTACAAATAACTCATATAGATACTGCCTCCTCAAGGAGGTGGAGAATAACTCTCCATCTCTTAAGTGTGGGCTATGCATAGTAGTGTTCCTTTTCCAGAGAACAGCATGGAAAGGGGGAAGGAAAGACGAACATTCCAGTCGAGAAGCCTGGCAGACAGTTAGGTGATTAAGGTTAAGACCATTAATGTTAAGCGATGTTGATGGCACGTTAACTTGATATAATGTGTTGAGAATGACACAGTCATTCTCAAGAGAAAAACAGTTTAATCATGAGAAAAACACCCGTCAAATTCAAATTGAGGGACATTCTACAGAAAACCTGACCATTTGAGGAGTGCTGGTCATCTGTCAAGGTCATCAAAAACAAGGAAAGTGAGAAGCTGTCACAGCCTAAAGGAGCCTAAGGAGCTCTGAGGATTACATGTAATATGGGTTCTGGAGGGGATCCAGGAACGGAAAAAAGACATTAAGGAAAAACTAATGAAATCTGAATAAAGGGTGGAGTTTAGCTAATCGTATGTGTCACTATTGGCTCTTTAGTTGTGACAAATGCACCACAGTGACACAAGATGTTAACAATAGGGAAACTGGATGCAGGGGCACATAGCAACTGTCTTTGCAACTTTTCTGTAAATCTAACTATTATAAAATAAAAACATTATTTAAATATATTTTTTCATGACCACAATAGTTACGTCCCCTGCATCATACCCTTTGCGATGTGACTTTGCCGCCCCTCCTGAGGAGAGGTGGTCTCCATTTCCCCACCTCTTAACTCTGGGCTAGTCTGTGATTTGCTTGGACCAATAGGATGTGATGGAATGCGATGCCAGTCATGGAGACCCCAGAGGTCTTGGATGTGGAGACACATGGCCCAGGCATTCCTTCTCACCCCAGTGGATAGCCAGCCAACTGTCAGACGTGATTGAACCCATCTTTCCTAGACAAGCCAGCCCCCAGCAGACCAGCCCTCTGATCCTGGACACAATGAACCAAGGCAAAATTGGCCCAGCCTGGCCCAGATCAGCAGGGCCATCAATGATCCACATGAGCGTTAACAAAAGCTTTCTGTTTAAAGCCTTTTGTTTGTTTTATGGCAATAGCTAACTGATTCACTCCTACCCTGGCATATGCACAAGATTATTTGCTGTAACATTGTGATTACAATTACAATGTTACAATGTTAAAGCCTCATCAATAGAAGACTGATCAAATAATTATAGGCAATCCATAAAAGGGAATATTACGCAGCTGTTTAAAAGCATGAGGCAGCTGTGTGTGAATCAATACGGAATAAAGTCCATGATACATTTTTAAGTGAAGCAGCAAGATGCAAAAGAGTATAAAGAGGAAGCCACTGGTCCTATAAAATATTTACATTTGCATAGACTTTTTGCTGGAGGATGCACAAATAGCATATGACAGTGGCTACGGCTAGGAAGGGGAACTGGGTGGCTGGGAAATAGAGTAGAAGAGAGACTTCCTTTTCACGTTGTCTTTTTTTATCTTTTGAATCATGTAAATGTGTTATCTATTCAAAAATAAAAAGCAGAATGAAAAAAACCTCTTGTGCCTTTCAAATTCAGTCTATTCTCTATTCCCAGGATTCCTGTGATCCATCCTGACCGCACAGAGCAGCGGGGAAACCGGGCTGTATTTTCTGCCCCCTCTTCCAGACAACCTCCATCCACCACGCGCCAGGTGAAGCTTGTTTCTCTGCGCCCCCGTTTGTCAGCTTCCCGGGAGCCACACAACCTCGCCCGCCACTGGAGGGCAGCATGAGGCTTCCTTCCGGGCTGGGAAGTATGGAGAGATTCCGGTGGGCCTCGAAGAACAGGCTGGCTCGCACAGAAAGGACTGGGGCTTTCCCGTATTTAAAAATAAACAATAATAAATAAATAAATAAATTAATTAATATAATATAAACGGTTTCAACTTGGGAGAAAAACTCATCCCAGAACCCCATTCCAGGCACCGGAGCAGCCGGCCATACCCTTCCGTTCCCAGGGGAAGCCTGTGCATCTTCTGGGCGTTGGGAGGGCACTAGGAAGCATTGGGGAAGGGGAGAGAGGTGACCCGCAGCTCCTTGCCTGTCATCTCTACTCGGCTCTATAGAATCATTTGGGGAAGACTAACAATCCAAACTCAGGAGACCTGGAGGGTTTGCCAGTGACCCCCCCCCCCCCCCCCCCCCCCCACTACCACCATGCGACCTTGAAAAAGCCCCTTCCCTGCTTTGAACCTACTCCACATCTGTAAACTGAAGTGGCGACTGTAAGGTTGATTAGGCACTTGATTTGTGACGTTGACTGAACTAAGCACCTTATAGACTTTCGGTCCCATTTTACAGATGAGAAAGCTGAGGCCTTAAGAAGCAGAGCTGGTAACAGAGCTGGCAAGGAGCAGAGCAGGATTTGAATCCACGTTTCCCTTGCTCCTGAGCGCCTGCTGTCGACACATCCTGTGCCTCCAAGGCCTGCGGGGGGGATTTCAAGAGAGATGGCTGAGAAAAGCGTTGGAAAGGGGCAACGGAGCCCTTTCTGCGTGCCAGGCGCGCACCCCTCAAGGAAGCTGCTTCCCCCTGGAGATGGCCTTGTGACATTCTTGCGCCCGGGTCGGACAGGTGAGGAGCGGGCTGGGACCCGGGGCCTGGAGCCGCCGCTGCCCGGCTCCTCCCGCGCCGCGCGGCGGGTGTCCGAGGCCGGGGTGCCCGGGTGGCTGCGCCCTGCTCCCGCGCTTCCGTAAACAGTCCAGAGGAGTCGGCAGAAGCGCGCGCGGCCCAGACGGCCGTTTCTGCCGGCCAGGGAGGGGGCGGTCTGCAGGCTCGGTGGGCAGCGCCCCCGCCCCACCGGCCGATCCCCCACCCCGCTCCCTTCCCTGCCCGAGGAGCGGCGCACAGCTGCGGGGCGCGGGAGCGCATGGCTGCACCCCCAAACGGGTCCTTCCAGCAGACGGAGTTCCTGTTTTCATGCAAATGCCTTTGTTCGCGCATTGGGGACCGACAGGACGGAACCGCAGCTGACGCGGACTGCGGGCCGCTTTTCCACCGCCGCTTCTGTGGGGCCTTGAAAGACGAATGCGCTGGGGACAAAAACGCCGGCGCCGCGGAAACCGGCGGGAGCGGCGCTCCGATCGCGTCTCTGAGCCCGCCTGGGAGAGCGCCCTGCGCCGCGGGGCGGGGCTGGTCCCTGAAGGCCCTCGCTCCTGGCCACTCCACCCCTGCCTCAGTTTCCCCATCTGCACAGGGAGGTGTTGTATATAAGAGCTCAGCGCAGTGCTAGGTCCTTGTTGGAATTCGTTTATCCAAGCACTGTGGGAGGCAGCGGGGAGCAGGGCAGGCAAGGAGACCGCTGTGGGAAGTTTGCATTTGAGAGAGAGAAGGAAGACAATAAACAGTAAGGAAATAGACAAGATAATTTCAAATAACAACAAGTGTTAATATAATAGCAAGCAGAAATATACTGCTTGTGCCAGGCTCTGTTCTAAATGCTATAAATATGTGTGTTAGCTCCTCTAATCTCACAACAAACCTACGAGATAGATAAATTATCACCCCCTTCACAAAAGGGAAAATGGAGGTTGAATCATCAATTCAAGGAAAATGAGAAGTTGAATAATATATTCAGGGAAATACAGGTTGAACAATTTACTCAAGCGTCCAGTAGATGGTGGAGACCAAATTTGGACTCAAACAGTTGGCCTCTTTATTTTTTTCTTTCAGATTGGTCCTGAGCTAACATCTGTTGCCAATCTTCTTTTATTTCTTCTTCTCCCCAAGGCCCCCCAGTACATAGTTGTATATTCTAGTTGTAGGTCCTTCTGGCTCTACTGTGTGGGACACCACCTGCCTCAGCATGGCCTGATGAGCTGTGCATAGCTTGAAACCCAGGATTCGAATGGGCGAAACACTGGGCCAAGGGGCCAGCCAGACAGTTGGCCTCTCAGTCACTCCATTCTACCACTTTCGGCTGTGCTAGGAAGGAGGTAAAATGGTGACATTGTAAAGAGAGCAGTGGGGCTAGAGGACAGCTGTTTTCAAAAGGGTGTCAGGGAGCATCTCTATGTCACGGGGCCCTCTAAGCTGAGGCCCGAATGAGGAGAGGATCCAGCCATGCAAAGAGCTGAGAGCTCCAGGCAGAGGGACAGTAGGGGCAAGGGCCCTGGGGTGAGGTGAAAGGAATAGACTCTGTTTTTCATAAACATAAGGAAGGGCAAGGGGGCTGGAGCTGAGTGAGCAACAGCAGGCAGTGGGAAAGGAGATGGCAGATGGCCAGAGGCCGGTGGAACGGGCTTGGCAGGCGTTGGAAAGGAGCTGGGATTTTATTCCAGGTGTGATGAGAAGTCATGGTGCTGTAATGGCCACAGAAGGTGTTGCGTGGGTGAACAGGTTGGACTAGATGGCGGAGGCCCTTCCTGCTCTGCCAGGCGTGGGTTGGAGGAGGAAGTGGATCACTCAGGTCTGAAACACGCCCCCTCCCACCTGATCTCCTGGCCTCTAGGAGATTCAGGCCGACATTCACCAAGTCCCCAGACCTTGGTACCCAGCACAAACTTGGAGATGTCAGATCAGCTCAGCCCTCATCTTACAGACAGGGGTGAGACTGAGGCTCAGACGGAAGGAATGGGTCCCCGCGTTTCAGGGGTCAGGGATGGCGTCTGCTTCATTCACTGATGTACGCCCCACTCAAACCCAGGCAAGGGGGGCCCTACTCTGGTCCTCGTGTTTTAAAGGGCCTCCCTCTGGCCCTCCTCCAGCTGTACATTTCAGGGCCGAGGTAACATACCCACCCAAGCCTGTGCCCCCTTTCTAGACATACTCCCGTCTCCCAGGATCCCTGAGATCCCTGCCCCCAGGTCCCAATGGACCCTGGCCCTGTGCAGGCCTCTTTCCAGTTTGTTCTCTGGAGGCAGAACACTAGGCCCAGGGTTTAGCCAAAGGGCAGTGCGGAGCATGGGGCGGGGAAGGGAGCATGGACCGGCAGCCTGGGGTGTCTACACACCTGCATGTGAGGTCTGCACAGTGTGAGGCGGAGATGGCATGAGAAGGGAGGGGAGCAGGCTGGAGGGCCAGGGGATGGGGCCAGCTCCCCCCTGCCCTCTGCGTTTCAGTGCAGATGTCTGACGAGCATCCGATTTCCAAGTTGAACGCGGCCTTCCAGGTCGTTATGAAGTTATATTCATGGAGGGGAAGGATAGGGCATTTTTAAAACAGTGTATCACCTTGATATATAACGTTTACATACTTAGATTTTGAGGGTGAGTGGGGCCCAGCCTCCAGCAGTATCAGGAGTGGGTCTAGCCTAGCACACCAAAGATACTCACTATTTATCAAAGAGATGGATTAATCTCATTTAACTTAATCCTCACACAGATTGTACAAGGGAAATAGCATCGTCTGCGTTTTATTGATGAGGAAACTAAGGCTTGGAGAGATTTCGTGACTGGCCCAATTCATCACGTTAGAAAGTAGCAGAGCTGAGCCTCCAGCCCTGATACGTCTGACTCCAAAATCCATTGCAATTGGCTCAGGAGAAGCTCACACCCATCGCGAATACGTCAAATCTACTCTGACTGCCGGAGCGTGTCACTCGTTGGTCTAAAGCATGTTTATATTACATGAAAAATGCCTTCTCTTCCTGGTTCTTCCTTTGTCCTCTCAGGCCCTTTAGGAGGTCACAGGGCAGGAGCTAATGCTCCACTTAACAATTATGGGGAAACTGAGGCCGTGAGCAGTAGCCTGAGGCATCATCAAGGCTTAAACACACAGGGTTTCCTTTTCTTGGGTAATACGAAATCTGGAGCTGGCCAGACCAGGGCTGGTGTAGCTGTTGCACCATACTCAGCAAACAGCTTCTGCTTTATGGTCTGTCCGGGTTATTTATTGCTGCTTAACAAACTACCCCAAAACACCATTTCATTATTTTCTACAGTTTTGTGGGTCAGAAATTTGGGCAGGGCTCAGCTGGGTGATCCTTCTGATCCATGGGCATCAGCCAGTCACTTGGTCGTATTCAGTTGATGGTTGGGCTCGTCTGGAGGGTCAAGATGGTTTTACCAGGATTCCTGGGGCTTTGGTGGGGAAACCTGAAATGCTGAGCTAGCTGGGTTCCTCCCCCTTTCCATGTGGTCTCAGGGCCTCTCCAGGTGGTCTCTCCAGCAGAGTGGTTTGACATTTTTCCATGGCAGCTCATGAATCCAAGAGGCCACGGCAGAAGCTACCAGTGCTCTTAAGGGCTGGGCCTTGAATTGGCAGAGTATCATTTCCGCTATACTCTGTTGACCCGAGAAGTCACAGGCCAGCCCAAATTCAGATTCCCAAATAGCCTCTTCCTCTCGAAGGAAGGACAGCCAAAGAATCAGCAGCTATCTTTAATTCACCACACGGTCCAAGATGGCTGCTTGAGATCCAGTCATCACATCTCAAATTCCCCCTGGCAAAGAAGAAGAGAGGAATAAGATGTATACCCTCTCTTTTAAGACATTTTCTAGAAGTCTCACAAAACATTTCTCATTGGCAAGAACTCACATGGCCATACTGAGGATGTGGAAGGGAAGCTGGGAACCGTAATCCTCATTCCAGGCTGCCATATGCCGAACTGAAAATTATGGATTCTATTGACTAAGAAAGAAAGAGAGAGTGGATATTGAGGAACAGCTAGAAATCTGTTCCACTGTTGAATTTTTTGCTTCCAACAGCCAAACACATTCCTAATGGACATTTCGTTTGCAATCTTGCCCCTCCTAATACATCCTCCACACTGTCACCAAAATAATCTTTCCTTCTTAATTATTCTTTTATGTTCCTAAAAGGTAAGTCTTTTCTTCATTCCCATGCCAACAGCAAGTGTCTGCAGTTTTTTGTGCGGAGGCCATGGGATTTGAATGCCTGAAACAATAATAGCATCCGCCACACACCAGGCACTGCGCCAAGCGCTATACGGACATGTCTTACTCAAGCCTCACAGTAACCCCATGAGATAGGATCACGCATGAGGAAACAGCAGCTCAGAGAAGTTAAGTGACTTACCCCAGGCCACACAGTGAGTAGGGGCAAGGTGGAGATTCAAATCCTTATCTGTCAGATTCCAGGCATGTGCTGAGGCACCCACACATGTGAAGCCCAGGGACCACTGACTGGTAACCACCCTGGAGCATGGGCAAGGCTCCTGCTTGGAGTGGGAGTGTCAGCAGAGGCAAATGAGAGCCCCGAGCCTGCAGACGCCCCTCGTCCCCGCGGTCCTCTGGCCAGGCAGCCCGCACCAAGCCCAGCCTCAGGCAGGCCTGGTTCAAGAAATCAAACTGGCACCAGGGCTTCACATCATTCTGTTCCCTTTACGCCCTGAAGGAGCCCCAGCCCATGAGCAGGAGACTCCACAGAACTGGCTGCAGGGCCAAGCGGCAGTCAGGGAACAGGCTGAGTTGAATGAAGCGCCTCCCAGCTCTGAGGTTCTGACCCCAGCTTCTTCTTGCCTTGACTTCACCCCGTTGGAGAACATACCGTGGCTCCCAGATCCCCTCGGGTTCAGTTTTACCCTGCCAAGGGGCTAGACGAGGGAAAGGGACAGCAAACCTGGGTTCACATCCTGGTCCCATCCTTTTGGTGAGTCTCCGTTCCCGCATCTGTCAAATGCGAGGAATACCCCTGCTCTGCTAGCTTATCCGGGTGTCGGGTGTCGAGGACCACACAGGACAAGGGGGAGGAACGGGCTTTGCAGACCAGGGCTGGTGCAGCATGCAGAACCCACTTCAGCAGACTGCCTGTAGGGACTAGGCATTCATCCCCTCGGAGGGCAGGGAGAGCTGGAGGGGCGGGGGACGGAGGGGCTGCACCTGCCGGGGGCTCCTGCCAACAGCATCACGGAGGAAGTGGCCCAGAGCGGGCATTTACACATAGGCGCCTGTCGGGGGCACAGTGATTCAGAGCCATGGTTCTGGAGCCAGACAGACATGTGTTTGAATCCCGGCTCCACTCCTTACTAGCTGAGGGGCCCTTGGACAAGTCATGTAACTTCTCTGTACCTCTGTTTCACATATATAAGAGGGACTGAAAAGGGAACCCATCTCATTGGGATTTTGTGAAGAATTGAATGAGAGCGTGCCTTTAAAGCACCAAGCTTAGCGCAGATGAACTGTCCAACCGGTGATAATGACAACAGTAATTAACTTTTTTTGAGCTCTAATTAAATACTGTGCTATAAGCGTTTCATTGATCGGATTACATGCTCCTCACCCCAACCCGAGATGTAGTTGACAGATTGTTCTCCACTTATAGATGTAGAGATGGAGGTACAGTTAGGTTGAATAAGCTGCCCGAGGCTACAGTAAGTGGTGGAGGCTGGTTTTGAACCCAAACCCAAGCTGTCTGACCCAGAGTCCACCTTAATCAATATTCCATGCTGTTATAATTACTGTTGCCACTACTGTTGTGGACCTTATACTCTGGACCCATAGCACCTCCACCGCTGCCTCAACAGCTGATTGGAGCAGAAGTCACCTGACCCAAAGGCTGCCCACAGCAGGTGATAGAGCCTGATGCAAAGCTCCACCCAGCAGGGCTGAGCGCAATTAGCTAAACCAATCAGCACCAATCCGGGCTCCCATTTGTCTTGAATTGCAGGGAGAGTTGGGACAATGCATAAAAGCTGAAAGACCCAACAAGATCAGATAATGCAAAGACAGTGTTGCAGTGCAGGGGCAATGAGTGAGCCAAAACCTCAGGAGAGAAAGGGGAGCAGAGAGGAAGAGGTGGTGCTGCCGAGGGGCCGTGAACTAGCTCAGTTCCTGGAGCACTGGGTCCTGGATGAGTCCTCAGGGGCTAAACCACATCCTGTGAGGCGTGGTCGAGACTCCAGCCTTCCAATCCCCGCAAGTTGCTTTACAACAACTCCCATGGCTCAGGTTAACCTGAGAGTTTCCGCTCTTTCAACCAAACTGAGGCTAGCTCAGCCTTCACCTTTAACCTCCGGGTACATGCTAAGAATCGGAAGAGGCGAATGGAGAGGACGAGTATGGACATCCCTCCATGAACCCCCAGGCCTGACGCTGGCCCAAGGAGGCCCCGAGAAAGAGCCCGGCCCAGTTCCTGCTACACCAGAACCCCAGGTCAGTCCTTGGTCCAATTCTCCACCTACGATCGTGCCCTTATGTTCAGCACTCCAGACTCCTATGTCCAGCAGATGACTCGACATCTGCATTCTGTGTTGTCCAGGCATCTCAGATCTAACTTGTCCAAAACAGAACTCCCAACCACCCCTCCAAAACACACCCCTCCCGCGGGATTTCCATTTCAGGAAATGCCAACCCCACAATTCTATTGCTGAGATCAAACACCTTGGCGTCATCCCTGTTCTCCCTGTCTCATACGCCAACATTCTTTCATCAGCAAATCCCGTTGCCTCCACCTTCCAACCGTATCCGTAAACTGACCGCTCCTGACCCTGCCTGGTCTGAGCTGCCCTCCTCTGTCACCTGGGATGACTGCACCACACTTCTGTTCTGTCCTTGCCTTCTACGAGTGCTCTGTGCTCAGCAGCCAGGGAGCTCCCATTAAAACGCAAGCCAGATCTTTTGATCTTCTTGTTAAGAACCCACCGATTGTTCCTCTTCTCACTCAGGAAGGCAAAGGTCTTTACAAAGGCCTTCATGGTCTTCCATGTCTAGACTCACCAGTTTCCCCTACAGACCCTCCTCCCTGACCTCACCTGCCAGCCCTGTCCCCCACTCTCCTCTGCTCCTGTCACACGAGATGCTTGCTGTTCCTGGAGGGAGCACTCCCACCCCCGGGCCTTTGCATGTACTGTTCCCTCTGCCTGGGGTGCTCCTCCCACATGACTCCTCCCTCACCTTCTTGGCTCACCTCAGCAGAGAGGCCTCCTCTGGGCACCTTATTAACAATTGCTGCCCACGCTAGTCTTACTTCCCCAGCTTCATTTTCCTCTGTAGCCCTTGATGTGCTCTGACCTGCTCTGCATCTTGCTTGCTCTTTACTGTCCGGCCCCTGCACTGGAGCTCAGCTGCATGGGGGGAAGCATCTTCAGCCGTGGTATTACCTCTGTGTCCCCATGGCCTGGAACACAATGTCCAGCACGGAGTAGGTACTCAGTGAATCTCTGCCAGATGGACAAAGAAGCACCCATAAGAGGACTTCCCGGAGACATCCCAGCCCAGCTACCACCCTCGGGGGGATCCTAGCCTGGTCCCCCCACTTCCTTGACCCTTTTAGGGGTCAGCCCTAAGGCCCTGTCCCCAAATATGAGAACCGAGGAGGAATTTGTCCAAATAGGTGGGGATTTCTTTTTAAATATAACTTTTTTCCCCTTAACACAAAAGTCCTTGTGTCGCAGTGTTGGCTCTTCTGTCAAAGCCTGTCCCAGCCCGAGAGCTTGGCACTGGGCTCTGTGTTCCCGCCAAGGAGCCGCTGTCACAGAATCACTGTGAGCAGGGCCAGCTTGACAGGAGGTTCCAGGAAGCTGGGGCGCATCACCTCCCTGGGCACACACCTCAAACCCTCCCCACAGGAAGGACTCAGTGGATAACTGGTGAGGCTGCTAATAGATAATGGGGCATTGCGCTGTTCTCTCCACTTTTCTGTGTTCTGAAAATTTTCTTTAAAAAACAAAGAGGATGTTTTTTCTCTGAAGTTCCTTCTCTGCCACACACCCCCAGAGGACTTCCTAGTGCCCTCCCACCACCACCCATCCCACAACTTCTCTCTCCCGTCCGCTCTGGTTTGAGGAGAGAGCAGTTCAGCTCTGCTTACCAGCTGCCTCTTGCCACACTAGAGTCATCTGGGGACACTTAAAAACCTTTGATGCCCAGCTGGCCCCCCTACTCCCCAAGATGTGGAACCAAATGGTCTGGTGTAGGGGTGCCAGGCACTGACTGCTGATAAAGGCTCCCCAGGTAACTCTGGCACTTTCCAGAGTTGAGCAACCGTCTTGTCATCCCTCATTCTCTGCCGCACCCAGAGGCCTCCTATTCACAGGGTGTCCTTGGAAGGCGGGATAGCAACAGCTTTTGTTACCTGAGCCCCATCCTTGGGGTCCCGCCACAACTGCCTAAGGAACTTGAAGAGTTCCTTCCTCCAAACCCAGACAGCTGCCTCCTTCCCCACGGGGTGCCTGGTGGACAACATTCTTTCCCGCACCTTAAGACATGTGAGTTCCCTGTCACCATTTGGAAAGTGCAGAGAAGCTGACCCCAGCCCCACTTCAGGCCCGGGACCAGGAATTCATGAACAGAAAGGATCCATTGTCTCAGAATCACTTGAAGGGAACAGCTAAAAGATACATTCAAAGGGCCCTGATGATAATGAGTATGCTAATGTCATTTCCATTGGGTGCCCGTGCTACCTCCAAAAGCGATGTCTGACCTTCCTCATGGATTCAAAGCTCCCATTGAAGTCAACGGGGGATTTGGGTTAAAATAACATCAAAGTTGTCACTTAAATGGATGAAACTGGGGAGTTGTGAAAGAAGGGGGAGTTTCACACTGGCCCTGACACTGCTGACCTTGAGGGGGAGACGCAGGCCCTGGTGGGCTGTGAGTGGAGCTTCTGGCCAAGCAGCTGGTGCCTTTGGGTGCACTGAGCCAGCAAGTGTCAACTGGGGGTCTCTTTTACATGATGCATGAGCTCTGGAGGCCCGGGTTCAAATCCCAGCTCCCCACTCACTAGCCAGATGACCTTGGCGAGACAAATCCTTTATCTGATTGAGCCTCAGTTTCCTCATCTGTAAGATGGCATGGATGAGACCTACCTTGCAGAGTTGCCTCCTGGGTTAAAGAAGCATGTACGTGGGAGGAGCCAGGAGCTCTCCACCCTCCCACTGGGATCTGAGGCACAGCTGGGTGGAGAGCCCCAGGTTCCCATCTCCCAGCCCTACCCCCCTCCACTCGGCATATACTCGTGAAGTGCTTCCTGGGTGCCAGGAGCTGTTTGGGTGCTGAGGATTTGGCTGTGAGCAAAACAGCTGAAATCTGCTCCCAGTGGAGCTGCCATTCTAGTCGGGGAGACAGACAGCAAACACACGAACAGACAAACCGTCCGTAAATGGTGTAAGTGCGGTGGAGAAGGAAAAGAAGTCCTTGATGAAAGGGGTGGAGCTTTAGACTCAGACAGACTCGAATTCAAATCCCAGGCACCCCTCACCGGCTGGGTAACCCCTGGGAAAGTGATTTTATCTCCCTGACACTCTTCTCCTACATTCAATGGAATCCATTGATCATTCATCCGCCCATTGAACAAATATTTATAGAGTTCTGTCTTGTGTCAAGCATTCTTTTGAGCGCTGGGGAGGCCGCAATGAATAAACAGACAAAAGTCCTTGCCCTTGGGAGCCTGAACTCTAGTGGAGAGAGACAAATGCTCAACAAATATACACGTATCGAGGGATGAAGGAAAATAAAGCCAGGCGAGGGGTAGAGAATGATGGAGAAAGGTGCTATTCATAAGGTGATCGGTGGAGGCCTCTCTGAGGAGGTGACACAATGGGAGCCCTGAAGACGTGGGGAGTTAGCCTTGTGGGCATCTGGAGGAAGGGTATTTCCAGCCAGAGGAGAAAGCAAGAGCAAAGGCCCTGAGGTCAGCCTGTGCATGGCTGTTGGGAGGTTTAGAGAACCAGAGACAAGGTACGGGATGCACCTGGCATGGCACCTGGCTCAATAGACAGTAGTTATTATCTGTACCCCTTTCATGAAAAAATGGGGGCATGCGTCATTTTCCACTATCACAAAAGCTCTTGAGGGCTCTGTGGATTGACAACTTTTTTATTCCCTTTTCTTGTTTTCTGAGTGAGAACCAGCAAGTCAAACTCCCCAGCCCACCTGCCAGCCTGCCCTCTCTGTCTCCAGTCCGAAACCAACAGGAATGTTTGACGTGTGGCAGTGGCCCTGGGGGCAGGGGGGTGTGTAATGAATGATGGTCATTAAATAATAATGGCAGCATCTTGAATTTCTTTCCTCTCCACAGCCTCACAAATTAGATGCCCTGGAAACGCTGTGCCTGTCACCAAGATGCACCTCCATCTGGGGTGGAAGGCAACATCTGCTAAACAGCTGTATCTAGTTTAAGAGCCGCTACTTAATGAAATTACTCAGCTCTGGTTGGGGCGGGCAGGGCTGAACAGGAAGGGGCAGGCCCAGTTGCAAGCATATATTCCACCTCTCCCCAAGTCGACCCCAACTCCTCTCCCTCAGTGTCACTCCACATGCCTGTTGATCCCGCCAACCTGGACATCTACGCATTTCCAGGCTCTGCCGTGCTCGCCCATGCTACCTTCTTGACTTTGCTCAAGCTGTCCCCCTGCCAAGAACATTCTCCTCCTAGCCGTCCAACTCCTCTGTGTCCTTCAAAAGGCCCAACTCAAACATCAACACCTCCTCCGGGGGCCTTCTCCAGCTCCCCAGGCTCAGTGAACTACCCCCACGAGCTCTCGCAGTACATTGTGCATTCCTTGACTGGAACATTCAGACCATTACATGGCAATGTCATGTACCCTGCCATTTTGTGAGCTCCTTATGGTTGGTTGCTGTGTTTAATTCATCTTTGTAATCCCAGAATTGTGCCAGAGTCCCAATAGACACTTAATAAGTGTGTGGTTAGTCATGGGTGGGTAGATGCATGGATGAAGGGATGGAAGGATAGAAGGAAGGCGGGCGGGGTGGGGGGGGGGAGAAAGAAAGGACAGATGAACAAATGGATCCATTGCCACCATCTAAATCCAAGCCCCCATCATTTCTCACTGGGACAAATACCACAGTCCCTTACTGGTCTTCCAGCTTCCACTCTTTCCTCCAGTAGTCCATTCTACTCAGAGAACTCAGGAATCCTCTACATAAGGAATTACATTCTATTACTCCTCTGTTTAAAACCAGAAGCTTCCACATTCTTAACCTTAGCCTACAGATCTCTATAGGATGCAGCCCCTTCCTGTCCTTCTTACCTCATCTCATTTTCCTACACTCCAGCTGCTTAGGGAACCAGCCAAGCTCGCTCTCTCACCTCAGGACCTTTGAATCTTCTGTTCCCCCTGCCTGGGACTCGCTTCCCCTGGCTGTCTGTGAAGCTGTCATCTTCTTCATCTTCAGGTCCAGCTCCAATGCCACCTCCTCAGAGAGGCCTTTCTTTATCCTTCCAGTTCAAATATCCACCATCTTGATGTCCGAAGGCAAAGAGAGTCTGATCCAGCCAGCTAGGGCTTTGGCTGCTGAAATCCAGCCGGCTCCCCAGAGCATCAGCCTCACCTGGTAAAGACTTCCCCCAAGGGCTAGCCACAAGCCGCCCCTTCCCCGGAGGGGGGCTCACTCCTCCTTCCCGTCAACTGAAGATCCTTCGTGAATGGGCTTGTCTGGAACTGCTGCAATTAAACCATCAGAGCAACACTGGACCATTTGTTTACTATGGCGCTTAGAGCTGGAATGGCTTGTTGTTTTGACAGTTTCTATTTTCAGCTCCATTTCCTAGGGGTAGCAGGGAGAGGGTAGGCAATGAATCCTGGTCTATTCAAGTAAAAAGATGCTTCAGTGAATCCTAGAATTTCAGAGTTACTGAATTCTGGAATCATTGTCTTGGAATGTGAGAGCAGTAAAAATATGCAATTTTAGTTATGGGTTCCTAGATTCATGGGAGCCTAGAATCTTACACAACAGAAAATAGAATCTTAGTGTCAAACGAGTTTAGGCTCAAAGTTTTAGACTGATAGAACCTTAAGAGATTCTCTCACTTGGTTGAGTTCTCTGCTCCAATACCACCTTCTCGAGAAACCGTCTCTGATGACCTTATCTACCATGTCCCCCACCCCCACCCCCACATGCTGTCATTTTCTACTGTTTTATTCTGGTTCATTTTTCTTCGGAGCCCTGATCACCACCTGACATCTGATATATTTCTCTGCTTATTTGCTTGTTATGTGTCTCCCCCACACAGTGGGTTGAGGTCAGCAACTCCGTTTTGTTCACTGCTTAAAAAGTGCTTATAACAATGCCTGGCATGTCATAAAGACTTTTTAAAAATGTCCATTCATCCAACACATATTTATTGAGTACCCACTTCGCGTTGGCTTGTCTGAGGATGGGAGGTAGGTCTCGTTTTGTACGGCAAGTCCAGTCGGTAGTAAACACCCAGAGGCTGTGCTGAGAAGGATTCTCTGGGCTCATCCAAGCTCTGTGTGGGAGGGCGATCGATTAGCAATGTCTGGCATGGGCCCAGCAATGCCGAGAGGTAGGCATCTGCTCCGGTCTCTGATCTGACTTAACTAAGCTGAGGTCCAGAGCGGGAGGGGAGAACCCCAGGGTGGCCAGCCTGGGGGTGCTGTAGCCAGGATCAGAACCCTCTGCTGTCTGTGTCTCTGCTCTCCAGCCTCCCCTCCCAGCACTGGCTCCTGAGCCTGAGTCCCTCTCTCGGGCACAGGTTTAATGTCTTCCCCCACCCCCAGCCTTTCAGCTTTCCCTCCTCCCAGGCCTTCCCAGGAGTAAGTGGCTGCTGGAGTCCCTGGCCCTGAACCCCAGCCTGGGAACCCAATTCTGGAACACGGCCTGAACGCACAAACCAGTTATTTTTAAAAATCCAAAAAGAAAAGGAAGAAAGAGAAAACTCACTGCCTGGGTCTGTGCACCAGCCTGGCTCAGAGAATAGAGACTTGAAAGGAACAAAGGGTTTCCTCAAACACGGCAGATCAAGGGCTTGGCTTGTGTGGAAACCAGTAACCGACCACCGCGCTTTGTGACAGATCCCTCAGAAGGCAGCGGCCTCTGTTCCTGCCGCAGTTTGGTTGGGGGGAGTACGGGGGGGGGGGGGGGGCAGGGGACACCCTCCCCACCCCCACCGCCAGTCAGGCTGCTTACAATCATAGACTGTTAGACCTCCGAGGCCCTAACAGAGCCTGCAGTCTGATACCCTCTCCATCAGAGGGGCAGGCAGAGCCCTGGAGGGCTCAGGGTCACTCAAGGAGCCACAGGCCAGTGGACTTCCCTCTTGACCAGGTCCCCTTACTCCTGGGGTGGAGACGGGTTAGGTCCACCCTTACCCCTTGTGCCCACCACAGCTGCCTGAGAAAGCCTTCTCGGGAACTCTCCCAGCCATAAGAACTTCCTGTTCCCTTCCTCCTTCAAATTTCCCCTTTCAAGGTGCCTGTAGGGTGTGGGTTTTACGCCCAGATCTCCAGGGTCGGCGCTGATCAGTTCTGAGATCACAGGATTGTCGTTGAGCCCTATACTCCAGGATGGACGAAGTCAATTGATTCATGTGAGGTGGAGCAGATCCCATCCCCAGGCGCTGTGCCAGGCCCCTCACAGGTGGCGCCTCATTCTGGCAGCGTAACGACCCTATGATGTAGGTCTCATTATGCCCCTTTTTCAGATGAGAAAACCAAGGATGCAAAGGCTGAATAACGTGCCTAAAACGCACGGCAGTGATTGGCAGAACTGACGCTTGAACTCGGGTCCACCTGATGCCTAAGCCAGGCTCCTGTTAACCTCTCCCCTCTGCCCCCCACCTCTCCCCTATGTGTCAAAGGTCAGCCATGCTTAACCTGAGTCGTGAGACTGGGGCAGGAGCCCGAGGGGCCAGGCTGGGAAACAGGAGCTTCCCTCCCTTGGACACCATCCTGCACACGAGTCACACATTGGTCCCTAGCACAAGTCAGCCTTCAGCCCGATGGTGGCAGGGACCCCTCCGGTCACCCAGAGTGTCACTGTCTCGCTGTATCTCTCTCCCATGGCTCTTTGCTACCCCACCTGTCAGTCTGTTGTCGGCATGGTTTTCCACCTCTGGCTCCCTGTGGCCTCCTCTCACCCTCCCCATTTCGCCATTCCCGTCTTCCCTTCCTCTCTCGCCATCTCTGTGCTACCTTCTCTGTCCATGCTCTAAGTCGCCTTTAATCCTCGAGCTCTAGCTGTGTCTCTTTCTCCCCAGCACGTCTCTGTGTTTCTGTACATCTGACTCTTTCTCCCCAGAGCTGTTTCTCTCTTGCTCTAACTCACTCTTCTCTCCGTCTCTGCTGTCTCTCACACTCCCTGTCTCTCCTGCTGCCTCTCCCTCCCCCTACTTCTCTCCGTCTCTCTGTCTCTCTCTCTCCAGCCTTCCTCACCTTCCCTCTCCCCGCCCCTCCTGAGCTTGCTCCTTCTCTCTCACAGCCCCACAATGACACATAATATTCCAGCAAATCCCAGCTTAGCTGTGGGGGGCCAGGAGGGACTGGTCAGGGCTGCTCCAAAAGGCGGATTTGGGGAGGTGGGGGTGCCATGTTAAAGAGAATGAGCCAGCCTCCTCCTCGTCTTCCTCGGAAATCACTGGTCGCTTTCCTGGGAGGCAGATGAGAAAGTCCCTGAATAGGGATTTAAAGCTCTAAGCTCTGATTCCTTCTTTTTAATATTTATAAAGAGAGAAAGGGGATAATTTCAGGAAGATCATTTCAAGGCGAAAACCCACATATTTTCAATAGAATTATTCCAAAAGCCCCTTTCCGGCTCATTGGAGTGTATGATTTCCTAAGTTACAGACGCGAGGTCTGGTTTCCAAGTTCCCTAAAATGACGCAGCTGAGTGAGGGCCAGAAAGGAAGTGTGAGATGAGAAGCCACGGACGGCAACAAAGAGAAGACTGGGCCACATGGGGGCCAAGGGGATAGCTGTGGCCAGCGGCCGTGCCCCGTCCTCCTCTCTTCTGCCTGTGTGCCTCAACAAACCAGCCGAACTCGGGCCATAACCACTGTCAAATACCCGCCCCCCCCATCCTGAGACCCCGAAGTCCAGACCTACAGAGCCAGCTGCCCATGCAGAGGGCTCACAGGCTGCTCAAACATGGGGTGTCCAGAGCTGCCGACCCCATCTTCCGCCCCAAACCTCTTCCATCCTTGGCCTTCGTCTCAGCCATCAGGTTGCCCGAGCTGGCAATCTGGGAGTTGACCTTGGGTCTTCCCTCACCCCTGCCACTTCTAGAAGATTCTACCACCTCATCTGCAGTCTCTCTCCCTCCACACTCTCATGGCCCAAGGTTGGGCCTCAGCATCGCTGGCCTAGATCCCTCCCAGCAGGGACTGGGGCCTCTGGCCTCTGGCGCACAAAGCTCAGCTCTAACGATGGTCCTCCCTTCCTCAGAAACAGTCACAGCTCTGCATCACTTCCAGGTGAGGACCAGACCCCTCTAGCCCAGCATCCGTAACCTAGCAACTGTATGTCCTTGTACTCGTCTGCCCATCACAAACACTCCACTGTGGCCAAAATGAGCCACTCTCTTTGCTGCCTACCCAAAAGGAAAGAAAAACAGTTTTCTACCTCTGAACCCTGGCCGAGGCTCCGCCCTTCTCCTGGGATGCCACCCTGCCATCTTGGCATGCACAGCTCCAACCCTACCTCAAGGTCCAGCTCAGATGCCTCCTATCTGTGAGGCATGGACGTAATTGCTCATTGTCCTTCTTTCCATAGGTTCTTTCCCTCTCTCTGACCCATGACATTTCACTAGAACATGAGATGGGCTGCAGGGCCTGAGAGCACCTGAGCTCTGTGGCTAAGACAGAGGGAACAAGAAAAAGGGATCACATCCTCTGACATTCTCCCAAACTGGACCAAGCTGGATTCTGTGGTTCTGCTGGGTGCGTAAAATTGTTAGCAGGATCCCCTGCTAATCATTGCAGTCATCACAGTAATTAGCAAAGCCGTTGCAAAGACCAGTTATTGAGCACTTACTATGAGCCGGGCACCTGCTAAGTGCTTTGCACACATTATCTCACATAGTTCACCATAATCCAACCTTGAGGGGACTGTTATCACCATAGTGGTATAGATGAGGAAACTGAGGCTCAGAGAGAGGTGGCGGCCCACGCACTATCACACTGTGCGTCAGAAGGCCAGGACTCTGGCCAGGCCAGCCCGACTCTGGAATCTTAGTGTCTAACCTCAGACACACTGAGAATGCTGACACCATGCTATCAGCAGGAACTGAGCGACACGCTCCCTGACTCATCCTCACTGAAGGGGACTGACTCACTGTGAGGCCATGGTCACGTCCCCTCTCTTGGGCTCCAGCTTCCCCATCTTCTCAGTGGTCCAGTTCCCTTTTAAAAAATATGGACCTTTCAGATGCCAGTTTTGCAAACCCCAGGGGCACAGTTTTTGTCTTCTTTTCCCCGGAGAAGGGCACAGCTGGGAGAGACAGAGCACAGATCTTCAAAAGAAGTCCACGGGGGCAAAAGCACACCCCCATTTCCCTGGCCCCAGACTTGGCTTGACTTGGCCTGGGCTATCCCCAGGTCCACTTCTGAAAGCCCTCAGGGCTGCTGCCAGGCTGTTCCCACAAAACTCTCAGCCTCACTGTGATTCCTGCCAATTAGCCTCTAATTCCCAGACTCTGGCTTCCTCTCTCACCAGGGCATCTACACCGGCCTCCTCACTGGTCTCCACTCTAGGCCTTATCTGCACAGCAGCCTTGTCATTTCAAACAAAAATCACAGGGTCTCTTTAGTTCTTAAAAGCCTCCATGGGTTCTCATCACAGTCAGAATAAAGCCCAAACAGCTCGTCCTGGCCTCCGGATCCTGTTTGCTCCGGTCCCCAGGCCTCCCCAGTCTCCAGCCACATCAGCCTTCCAACAAGGCCAAGGACAAACCAGGTTCTTTTCCACCTTGGGGCCTTTGTTCTTGCTCTTTTCTCAGTTCCTTTCCTGGCGTCTTTCTTCTCCTCCTTCAGTTCAAACATCGTCCCTTTCCCAAGTCCTTTCCCAATCCTGATTATCCATAGTTGCTTCTGCCCTGCGCTCATTGTGCAGTTAGACATCGACTATTTCTTTGTGTTGTCCATCAGAGGAAGCAAAATGGCAGATTAGGAAAGCCCAAGTTCTTATTCCTTCCACAGAAGCATCAAAAAACAAACAAACAAAAAATCCCCAAATCCAAGGAATGGGCTGAACTATTTTAGCAGCTCTGCAAAACAGTCAAGAGTTTACAGCAACCAAGTGAGCACCCAGTCGAGAAAAGGCCACCTTCAAAACAGTAGGAAAAGTTTTGTGGCAATTTTACTGGCCCCTTTCCCATCTTCTTCCTGGCACAGCAGTTGTCTTAGTGGAGGAGGCAGCAGTCCATTCCCAGGTCCCTCCCTCCAATTAGAGGTTCCAAGCAGACCTTACTTGCATCATTCTAACCTGTCTGAGGGCTGCCTGAAGGACTGCCCCCTGTTTCACCTAAGTTGGATCTCAGGTGGGGAGAAGCAGCAGGCACCGTTCATGACAGCTGAAAGGAGACCATAGACCCATAGATACGTGGGGCAAAATACCATGGGTGGACACATACAATAGGCTGTCTATGGTCCCAAGGAGAATCTGGGGTGCTGGGATGACACTCTTAAGGAAATTAAGGCATTCAAAAGCGGCTGTGTATATGGGGGGAATTGAGAAAGCCACAAGCAGCGTCAACCAAGATGTGTGCTCAGAAAAGACCTGAGAAGACCTTAAGCTTTCACCTTGATGGAGGACCATTCCAGGAGAAAGCCAGTCTGCAAAGACAGGGAAAGATGGCTGTTTATTCAAAGGTTCAATTTTCAACAAATAAATCACAAGAAAGAAACAGAAAACATGGCTTATTCAAAGGAACAAAATTAATTGACAGAAATGACCCCTGAGGAAACCCAGACATTGGATTTATTGCATGAAAACTTTAAAACAACTGTCTTAAATATGCTCAAAGAGCTGAAGGAAAACACAAACAAAGAACTAAAGGAAACTAGGG